GGGGAGTGTTGTGGCCTTCTCGCCTGACATCAGTGCCTGACCTCACATATGCACTTCTTGATGAATGGTCAAACATTCCCATACACACACTCCTAAACCTTGTGGACAGCCTTCCCAGAAGAGTTGAAGCTGTTATAGCTGCAAAGGGTGGGCCAACTCAATATTGAACCCTATGGACTAAGACTGGGATGCCATTAAAGTTCATGTGCGTGTAAAGGCAGGCGTCCCAATACTTTTGGCAAAATAATGTATGTGTTGTAGCAAAGAGACTGTAAAAAGGCATACATGTAGTGAGCAAAACCAACTAAACAGAAATATATTACATAAAATTACAAATTTATTATACAAACATTGAAAAAAGTAGTAACCACATCCATGTGTTGTACCCAAACAAAGTTCACATCTATAATACAGAGAATATTCGTGTTTTTACAAAACTGGTTCACATAGAAAGCTCAATGATTTCCAGAACCGAGTCAACATATAAATCAGTTTTAAAATACCTTGTCTTGTACAATAGAGTTCCAGTGAGTCAGCAACATGATAGGACAGCAGAGAGGATGTAGTGGACCATAAGTGTACACATCACCCTACATCAATAGACTATGCATATGCAAAAAAGTAGTTATATCAACTGACATCTATAGATCCATGATCACCTGACAATGGTGGAGCACACTGGTCATGGTGTGAGAATTACACCAGTGGTTTTTACATATTTTTATGTGTCAAACATCACTCATGGAGCCTGCTCAATGAATGCTCTAATCCAATTTACACAATTTTCTGTAGTTTTAAAACACCTTAAGAAATAGTTAATCTGGATATATGATCACACTAATGCCCATTGAAGATCCCTGTGCTATGTGAAAGAATAGGAAATAGCAACAGTGTGTTTGTGGTTGTAACACTTCAGGCATGAAAAAGCAGCACATATCCCAATATAACATGTATTAAACTGAATCCAGAATACCTAGTCTGGTCTCTCCTTTCTCTCTTCCATCTGCTTGACTCCCTCCTAATAGATTATGCCAACACCTCAGCCTCCCAAGAGATGGCTGCCCCCCTCCCCAGCATACAGAAGATGACTCATACCTTCATCTCTATGTTTCGTTGAGCCTTTGAAGAGGGGACTGTGTCACTCTCCTCCATTCAGGTCTCAGATTACACTGAGCTCTGTAGCTCTGCAGTGTGTGACATCAGATCCCCACCCTCTGCTTTCTGCTGAGAAAAATCCTTTCATCTTTGTGTGTTGATGAAGGCTGTATGGGACAAATGGCTGCAAATAAACAGGTAAAATGTCTGTGGGAGGAAGTTTTCATTGTGTATAATCTGAGGCTAGTCACTTCACTGGGTATACAGTATGTAGGGGTTTACAAACACTTTAATTTTTGCAGCTAGACACACTGTATACAGTTACTTGTGCCAAAAGCCCTATTTTAATGTATATACAGATGAGTTCAGATTTCCAGCACAGTGTAACATATTATGGAATATTTATTTCAATTATTCACAAGTGAACAGATGGTGAATATTTCCAAACACATGTGACTGTTTATCTGTGTCTTGTGTAGTACTCACATAAAAAGCAAGTTACTTGACTATATCAGAGATAGTATGTTTTAAAGATTTATAGAACTGGAATAGTGACATATATTGCAAATGACACAAGCTAGTGGGGAGTCTGTTGATAAGCTTTGACATCCTGCTGATTTTCCTGAGACTCGAATTTCTGTCTGCCTGTGGTTGGCAATATCGTGCCAACAAAGGAAATTGAATAGGCACAGGATGAGGGACTTGCTTAAAGAGTGAAGCAGCATGATAACATTTGTGGTGTCATATTTTAAATATGTTGACAAGCTTTAATATTGCATGCTATAAACAAAAAGCAGAGATAGCACTGGAAAAAAACACTTTAACCTCTTTGTGATGGAAGGTAAAACAAACCTTAAAGCCTGAACACAGTTTAGCAAATTTGGCATTTGTTAGCAAAACTGTACATGTCATCACAACTACTTAGTGTATCCAGGTGTATACCTTGTTTTTCAGGATACATTTTGCTTTCATTTGGTAGTAAATGAGAAGGATTTTAAAGGAAATGAAACAAAAATGAAAATATTTTTTTTTTATCAAAGGATAACTGGCCCAAAATAGTAAACAAAAACCAGACTAATCATTGTACTATATAGTACATTATTTGTTGTTTGCATCCATAGTAGGATCAAGAAACTGCATTCTTTTAATTCTACCTTAAACACACTGACCCTGTTCTTGACCTAAATCATCTACCTATGCTATTTTATCTCTTTTTTTTTTTTACACAGACATTTTTATTGTACATTTTTCTTCTCTAGTCAGGAGAAAAGGTTACAGTGTATGTTTGTATCTTTTTTTTTTTTTCAAGAGGGGAAAGAGAACAGGGTCAAGTTGTACAGTTAGTGATCACTGTGATAGTCAATTAAAGGCTAACGTAGTGATCATGTGATAAGCAGTCTGTACTCCCAGCTACCGATGATTAGTATGAGACCAGGAGCTGGTTACAGCTTGATCTCTGTATAAGGACACATTATAGAGTATGTTTCAAACACAAAAACAAGTGCCCATGTATGCGGCACCACCAAATGACAACTTTTCACTGTGTGGGTTGCTAAAGTCTTTGGTCACTAGGAGGCAAGTAGTGCCTGTGTCCTAGCAATGGAAGATGCTGTGGCCAGCTGCCTTCATCCTAGCAACTGATGATGTCATTGGTTGCTAGGACACAAGTTATAGGTTGCTGGTGCAACATAACTACCAATGACGGTTTTCTCTCCATACCAGACCCTCGTCCTAGATAGGGTACCCCACACTATGTGTGGCCTTTCTTCCCCTCTATGAGTATGGATTCTGTCTGGTCCAATCTTGAAGCTTGGGGCTGGCAGTCTTTTTCACCATGGATGGATGCCTGGATGGTCATTGATGAACATGTGTGTTTGATCTCTGTTATGGGGATCCAGTTCATTTGGTTAGAGGCCATTTTTCTCTGTGGTGGAGGGCACAAAGTGTTTGGTCAGCATACTGTTCTAAGTTAGGGCGATGCATCTGTTATCAAATAGCCAAGATCCCCATTGTTTCCAAAAGGTATTAAATGTTAGGTTATCAAACAGATATTCATATAGGATGTAGTTATTAATTATCTGCATGACCATAGAGAGAGGGTGGTTTTGTATCATTCCATAATCTCACAACTGCAAGTTTGGCCACTATAAAAGTATGGGGAACAAAGGTTTACAAATTGATGAGCCACTGCTCAATTCCCACTCTCAACATAACACAACTATTGTAGGGTGTTGGACATAGAAAATATGGGTAATATGGTGCAGAGTGCAAAGATCATCATCAAGCTGTGAGGAGTGTAGTACCGTTTATGGAGTCATTTGTGTGCTGTTTCACAGTGAAATATGCACTTTGAGGCTTTTAGAGGTTTCATAATTGTAGCTTTCCACTGACCAATGGATATGGTAAAATTAAGCTCTCTTTCCCAGAATTCCATAGCAGGGAGTTTAATTTTCTGCTGTGTTTTCTGTAGTGTATAAAAGGCTGAGAGTCAATGGCTTTGGGCTGTAAAAAAGAGCTTTAGAAGTCTCAAATTGGAGGTTGTCATTCCATTGTAGTGAAGAAAGTACATGTCTGATTCGAAGGGATTTATAAAAATTGTTGTGACTTAAGTGATAAGTATGGCAAAGGTCTTGGAAAGATTTTTATTTGTAAATCTGCAAATAGGTCCATGATATAGCAAATGCCCCAAGGGGAGAATTCCAAATTCTGAGATGTGAGTTCCAGGGAAAAGAGAGGTAAGTGTTGCAGTGTTCGGTATGATATACTTTTAGAGCCTTGTATGTTCCAGACACGGTAAGTGGCTGTTAAGGTATGAAAATACATTTTTAAGATTCTCCTCTGATTAACTTATAGCACTTATACACCCTTCCTGCCCAGGCCAATTTTCAGCTTTCAGCACTGTCGCACTTTGAATGACAATTGCGTGGTCATGCAACACTGTACCCATATGAAATTTTTATAATTTTTTTGAGACAGATAGAGCTTTCTTTTGGTGGTATTTAGTCACCTCTGGGTTTTTTATTTTTTGCTAAACAAACCAAAAACAACTGAAAATTTTGAGTTTTCTTAGTTTTTTCTTAGTTTTTATTTTAAAATTTTGTAAATACATGATTTTTTGCCTTCAATGATGTGCGCTAATGAGGCTGCAGTGATGTGCACTGATAGGCTGCACTGATGGGCACTGGCAGGTGGCACTGCTGGGCACTAACAGCTGGTATTGATGGACACTGACAGGTGGCACTACTGGGGCTACACTGGTCATCAGGGCATACTGATCATCAGTGCCCTGATGATCAGTGTACATGTCCCCTCTGAGGAATGCTGATTACCGGCTCTCCGTTCCTTTTGAGCTGTCAGCGTGACAGCTTGTGAGGAGAGAAATGCCGAAAACCGGCATTTCCCTATTTACATGCAATCAGCTGTGATTGGACACATCTGCTCACATGACCGAGCCGAGATCTTCGGCTCTTTCCTTTGATTGGTGATCCGTTGTGTCCGAGGGACACAGCGCACCACCTATCGCCATGCTGTGCGCTCCCGGAGCCATGCACGCACTGTTAGAGTGGGAGGATGTCATTCGATGTCCTCCCAGAATGAGAGAACCACCTTGCACCCGTCATTACCTTATATCGCAGATGGGAGGCGGTTAAAATGATTGTAAAGGCTTATTTTTTTAAATAACATACTTGTCATACTTACCTGCTCTGTGCAATGCATGTACAATGATTTTTACCTTCATGCATAGAATGCCATTACAACCACCTTAACCTCCCGGGTGGTATTCCCGAATGTAGCTCGGGGTAAAGTTTCAGCACCACAAGCGGTAACCCCGAGCTACACTCGGGAATACCCTGCAGGACTGCTTCGGGATCTCTTCTGCACTTACCTTGTCCTGTGCTCCCGCGATGTCCTCCCTGCAGTGTCCCCGGCCATGTCCTCCGGCGGATGCTGGCATCTGTCTTCTGGGTTCTGTTCCCTGCGACGTCGGGACATACGGGGACGGAACTGGCGGGAAATTTGAAAGCTGTAAAAGTGACATTCACTAAAATAACAGAGTAAAACATTACTGTATCAAACCATTTCACATACATTTTGTCCCTAGTGCTTTGTCCTGTGCCCTGCCTGCATTTTTACTGTTCTTTCTGCCTGTAAACTGGGCAATGTCCATGGCGTCCAAAAAGCGTCCCTTTAGGTCAAAAGCAGTTTTAGACCAGCTAGATAACAGTGATAGTGAATTAGAATCACTTGCAGAATTAAGTGATAATGATTCGTGGGGAAATTCGTCATCAGACACTGAAAACGATTTTGCGACTTTGCTCAGTGATGTGCGAACTTATATATTTCAAATTTCAGTGTTTTTGGTTTGATTACATTATTTAATTAAATGTATTATTATTATTATATTATTATTTTTTTATGATTATTTATTAAATTATAATTTATGATTTCGGGTTTCAAATTTTAACACACGCGGGATGTTTACTAGACTCTTGTTCGGACAGATTTCAGTGAGTTATTCCTAAAAATGACAGGCCTACAATAAAAAAAATACATATTTCCATGTAAAAAAATGTACCGCTTTCAGCACAGAAATATGGACATAATCAGACCGCTAGGGAAGCTACTATATACACAATGAAGTTCACAATTTGTTAATTTTTGGATGTGTTCACTGAACCTACCCTTGAATCAAATCCTGCATGGAATTTGCTCATTGTTATATAAGAAAAAAAAAACCTAATACATATATTGTTTCAGGACAACATTTCAACTGTTTTCTTATTTTTGCAGTAAAGCCAAGGAAGCCAACCTAACAGTATAATAATGTGCTTTTACTACATAAGAATGCTGCATATACAAGCCACTTACAGTTACAGGAAAACAATACCAGATAGAATGGGGTTGATTTACTAAAACTGGAGAGTGCAAAATCTGATGCAGCTGTGCATGGTAGAAAATCAGCTTCTGACTTCAACTTGTTCAATTAAACTTTGACAATAAAACCTGAAACAATTGAGTACTGTCCGTGATACTTTTTTTATTTGCACTAACATACAATTTTGAGGACAAGCTTTCGGGGGAATGTCCCCTTTTTCAAGGTCTAAGCAGTGCTACTCACAAAGTTTTAGCAGAATGTTAGAAGAGATGTGGGGGATGAAAACAAAAAAGAGACTAAAGATAAGACACAGCAAAAGCAAAGACTGGGGGGGGGGGGGGAGAACAACACTAACAGAGGGAGTCATGCTTGAGGTGACTCCCTCAAGTGACAAATTGAGGTGACAAATTCAGGCCCTTATCTCTTGTGTCAAATAGAATTATCATACTTAGTTCAAAAGTTTTTCTTTCCTGAATGGATTTGAAATTTCCTTTAAGAACTAAAATATTGAGGTCTCCCAAAGTGTGGTCTGGTTGTGCGAAATGGTGTTCCACAGGTGTGCAAAAGTCATCTTCTTTATATTCCTTGATGGTATGTCTGTGTAAATTCATCCTTGTTTGCAACTTCTGTCCTGCTTAGCCAACATAAGATCCTTTGCTACATATTGAAGATCCCTTTTGAGTGTGTGACACTTTTTGATGGATTGATTTGGTTGCACAATTTGCAGCATTTTTTATTGCAGGGCTTGCTTCCATTATTTGTGACCACATAATCAGAAGTAAGTTTCCTACTGATTAGTTTATTTCTGAGGTTGGGGAGTTGTCTGAAGGCCAGTATTGGTGGTTGCTGGAATATTTCTTTCAGAGTTCCATCCTCTGTTATAATGGGTTGTAAATCTTTGATTATTTTTCTTATTCCTTCTATTGCTAGGTTGTATGTGGTTACTAGAGGTACACGGTTGTTTGTTTTTTTCTCTTTGTACTGAAGCAGATTTTCCCTTCGGGTTCTCAAGGCTGTATTTATGCTGGTGTTGATAGTTTTGTCCTTGTAACCTTTCTTATGGAAGGAGTCTGCTAGTGTCCCGAGATGTTTATCTCTGTCTCACTTTGGGAGACCTCAATATTTTAGTTCTTAAAGGAAATTTCAAATCCATTCAGGAAAGAAAAACTTTTGAACTAAGAATGATAATTCTATTTGACACAAGAGATATTTTGGACATGGGATTCCTTAATTATTGTCCAACAGTTTTATGACTATCGCCTCAAGCATGACTGCCTCTGTTAGTGGTGTCTCCCCCCCCAGTCTTTGCTTTTGCTGTGTCTTATCTCTAGTGTCTTTTTTTTTTCATCCCCCACATCTCTTCTAACATTCTGCTAAAACTTTATGAGTAGTACTGCTTAGACCTTGAAGAAGGGGACATTCGCCGAAAGCTTGTCCTCAAAATTGTATGTTAGTGCAAATAAAAAAAGTATCACGGACAGTACTCAATTATTTCTGTCGCAAATGCACTAATATGGCTACAATCACCTCAAGCACAATAAAACCTGGAAGCTGATTGGTTCCTATGCAGAGCTGCACCAGAGTTTGCACTCTCCAGTTTTAGTAAATCAACCCCAATGAGTGCTTTAGTTTGAGCTGCTTAGAGTTAACTAAGAGCTAATAAGGGATTAAACAGGAACACATATTTATTCAACTTCAAAGGTTGCTTTTTTAACTGACATCCGAAGCAAATCAAAGATCACTTCTTTAATTTTATATGAATGCAGCAGAGTAAATTCAAAGTAACAATGATGTTACTTTGCATTTCTAAATCACCATTTAAAAAAAACACTTATTAAAAGCTCAGTTTTTTTGACAGCAGAAGCTACAGTCTGCTGCTGTAGTGCCCAGGAAGTCCAACATAACATTTTGACAGCCAGGAATTGTAAATAAATTTGGTGGCAGGAACACAAGTGGGGGGAGGAACAGGACCTGCTACATACACCCAGTGGACTTTATTTACTAAAGCTGGTCACTCAGAATCTTGTGCACTTCTGCATAGAAACCAATCAGCTTCCAAATTTTGTTGCTAAAGTTTAATTGAACAAGCTGAAATTAGAAGCTGATTGGCTAGCATGCACAGCTGCACCAGATTCTGAGTGAACCAGCTCTAGTAAATAAACCCCCATGTGTTTAGATATAAGATTTTGTAGGTATATCTAGCATGCCCAGTTAAACTTTGTGGGTCGGAATGCTGTATTTTAAAGCTGGCAGAATAAAATTGCTATTATTATAGTTATATGAACGAGGACCAGTTACGATAGGGTTTTGTAACAATCTTAATACACAGGTCCCTAAAAAACTATTATAGTATCGCATGCTAACTTATAGAAGATGTTTTTTGAATTGAGATGTGTGTATATGTTTATATGTGTATATGTTTACATATAAATATACAAGTATACACACATACTAATTCATAAAGAAAGTTTGGATCTACAGTTTGGATTACAGTAATTGTCACCTACCATCTCACAGCTGCTGGTTGTTAGCTACCTGATCTTATACACTGCCTACTCAGAAGTTTGGAGACATTTACGTTGATTTTACTAAAGGAGTTGACAATGTTCACTTAAAAAATGAAGACCAGGGCAGGGACATAAGGGGGGCAGAGGGGGGAGATGGGAGCTTCGACCACTTCTTCTGCCTCATTAATTGGCTGTCATTTTCCCTCATATCCATTGCACAACATCCCAATAGCCCAACTCCTCAGTTCCCACATGGAAGAAAAATATATTTGAAATATATCTTAAAAATATTCTTCCCAAATATGTTGCCACATATTTGAAATGCTACAGTTTTGGCCATATTCAATATATTTCAGCAAATATGTATATTTTTATATATATATAAAAATATATTTTTATATATATACACAGTGTGTATCTATCTATCTATGTATCTATCTATATATATGTATATATATATATATATATATATTATGTTGAAATGCATTTTTATTACAAAATATATAACAAATATTTTTTAAAACATATTTCAAATATACTGTATGTCTTTAAAAATACAAATCTACATTTTTGGAACGCATTTACAAATATATGTTAAGATTACATTATTTATATGTTAAAAGAATCTGAAGAATATATTTTAAAAATATTATATATAATTTTTTTTCCATATGGGGCAGCCACTCCAACTCTGTCTTTTCTCTCTTACTACTTACTCCTACATGTTATTCACTCCCGTAGAAAAGTCCCATAGAAAGTGCTCAATCCAATAGAATCAGCATGTAACAGAAAATGGGTGCTATATAGGAAATGTCAATTCTCAGTCACATATAGGAAGCTATAAGGTATATCTAGCATTTAAATAATATAGTGAACCTTGAGGTTTCTAGACATATATATTGGATACTATAGTATTTAAATGCTAAATATACCCTATAGCTTCCTATATGTGACCAAGAATTAACATTTGTATTAATGGTCCTACTTTCTGTTATATGCTGAATCTATTGGCTTGAGCACTTTCTAAGGAACATTTTATTGTTATTATGGAATGAATTGGCCAAAAATGTTTTTTGTGGCTGCTGGTTTTTAGGACACAGCTTACCCATTGCTTAGAGTGTACCTTAAGGGAGTAGCATTCCTATCCACATGGTTTTATAAATAGGTGTACATTGGAAGATGTAACCATTTAAAAGCAAAGAGAGGGAGTTGTTGTTGTCCCTATTTTATTGTTATTGTTTTAATGGTATGTAAATAAAGTATATATATTTTAAATATTGTGTCCTCACTTGTTACCAGTAAAGTCCTGTTTTTTATCCCCTTTGGGGGTTCTATTTTTTTTAATACTATTTGGGATGTGGTACTAATTCTGACAAAAGCAATCCAATTTCTAATAAACATTTTACTAAGCATGGCTTAACATGGGTATCTTGGTGCATTCTGCCAATTAACATTGATTGTATTAACCACTTCAATACTGGGCGCTTTTACCCCCTTCCTTTCAGTGTTGTCTTATTTTGAATGACAATTGCACATTGCGTCATGCAACAGTGTACCCATAAAACAATTTAGCATTTTTTTCACACAAATATAGCTTTCTTTTGGTAGTATTTAATTATTACCAAGTTTTTTATTTTTTGCTAAATAAACAAAAAAACCCTGAAATGTTTAAAAAAAAAACATGTTTTTCTTTGTTTCTGTTATAAATTTTTCCAAATAAATAACCTTTCTTCATACATTTAGGTTAAAATGTATTCTGCTACATTTCTTTGGTGAAAATACCCCCAAATTAATAAATATTATTATAATATATATATATAATATATATATAATTTTTTTTCCATATGGGGCAGCCACTCCAACTCTGTCTTTTC